GACTTACACTCACATTGTGAACTAAGCAATGAACGCAACTGAAGCATGTTCAGATAAAGCAAATAAATGTTTTAAAGCGTAAGGGTCTTATCGAATATATTCAATGACAGAGTGATTTATAGATGTCAATCGTTTAATTAAATTTAATGAATAGTCACATGAAGAATAAAATGAAGGAATTATAACTGATGGGATTCGTGAGAATAAATAAATGAAATAAGAGCATACCTGTTGATATGGGGTTGTTTTTCGATTTTATAAAAACCAGATGCAGTTCGTGCACCTTCTATATAAGTTATCTCCTCGCCGAACAATTCCAAAAACTCATCAGACTCTTCGTTCATGTCTTCTCGTTCAGTTCTTCAGTTCAACGCATTATTTGCATTCATAATCAAAATGATAACAACAATGCATAATCGAAATTTACCAATGCAATTTAATTCTAAACTTTTCGTGAAATATACACGAGGATCTCAAGAGAAATGAGCTTATCCAATAAGGTTGGAGCAGAACACAACAGACGGCGATGATTATGGAGAATAGATGAACAAATAATACAATCCTCATTCCTCACCTGCAAGTAGCACCCAGATAATTTCTGAGGTTGACAGCATGCACAGCAGCACACATTCCTTTATCGAGACTTGCGTGTTCACCAATCCAGTAATATATTGAATGTTTCAATGCACCCGACTCTTCCTTCAACATGCACTTCTCTGTTATCATTTCAAGATAAAAATCACCTATCTCATCGTAAACAAATGGTGAACTTATCATAACACACATAGTTTCCAACTCTATTCTGATAGTGAGCATTTTTGCCAATAGCAAGAAAAATAAATATTGTTAACGAATGGAAACCTTAATCGTACGCAGAATAAGATAAGCATCTGCTTCATAGAAATGTCCATAGAAAGATTCATCTAAAATGGTCGGATAAAAGTTTTCGATTTGCCAAAGCCACAAGCCCGCATTTTGCCCAACCTCCTCATCGAATACATCACTATAATCGATCCGTGGCTTGCGCTGCTCGATTTTATCCTTTAAATATGAACTGAATTTCATCACAACGATCACATACGATGTATTAATATTAATACTCGTATGACGGCTATAACAAACGGATAATCAATCACTGATGTCAAATCAATCAAAATAAAAACACAATAACCTTCCACGACGGAATCTTAACACCATCTTCATGATGTCCTAGTGCAGTCGTATTCTCATTCTCTAAACGTTCTCTCGCGGCACCAGCCACATTCGACATTCCCTTAAGATTTTCACTGTGATTCATACGATAGCATCAACATCGAATTTTGTCATTTTGCAATCGTGAGTTGAATTGAAATCATTAAGTAGGTGATATAGGAGAGAACTGATTAGGCAGGCGGTTGAATACAATGAATTTTACTTTATTCATTGGAGCATAGCAGTAAGTAAATAACGATGATAACCAAAAGATAACCTCAATCACTTTATTAGCACCTTGACTGTCCGCCTGCATACGTCTCCTCTTCAAGAATTCCTTCTTTCTGGCGACTGGATCCTTATGAGGTCCACTACTCGGTACAGAACTTATTGACGAGGATGGACTTTGACCAGCAAGTTTCATCTGAATTACTCATCAACTAATTACGTCTTCAATGAGAAGTATCATCACATCAGCATATTTTCGACTTGCCACCAACTTTAGTGATTGTTATTACACAGAAAAACATAGACCATAACAGAGCTATTTGACTCTATCACACTTCACTTTGCTTTCATGTTCACCATTCATGTGTAAATCAGTGAACTGATTTAAAACAACAAATTTTCAAAATGTAATGCCTTGTTCATCTTTTTTTGCAGTTCAACCGCTAAACTTTCAGTTAAATTCAATATACCCGACGAATACATAACACAGTGCAGAAACAATTTGGGCACTCTTACAAAACAAGTGATCGGAANCTTGTTCATCTTTTTTTGCAGTTCAACCGCTAGACTTTCAGTTAAATTCAATATACCCGACGAATACATAACACAGTGCGGAAACAATTTAGGCGCTTTTACAAAACAAGTGATCGGAATCTCTGTGCAAAACCGAACCGAAATAAGCAGGAAATCTATGACTGAAAAATCTACAAAACTAATACGGGCCAGAAAACACTCCGATATAGTAATATAATATTACTAAACCGGAGATTAATCTTGACACGTTCACGGTTTACTTCGAGCTCCATATTTGCAGTCCCATGTTTTTCTGATCCACCACTCAGTCTAAGTATGAACTGCTCACTGCCAAGTGAAAATAGATGAATCAATATAAACTATCCCGAAAAGACACGTAAGGAGAATACCCGAAAATAAACTGCATTTGGTTTTATGAGATAAGCATTACGGAAAAACACAGAGAAATAAAATGAGTTGACGACGATGAAATGGTAATCAAAAACAACAAAAAATGATAATCAGAAAATAACTGACTTGATTAGCAAGTGAAAAGTCGATATTGTAAAATGCAAGTGCTTTTCGCTGCTCATTTGGTTTCGGTGGCATCACAAGTTCATCGTTACTAAATTAGTCAACTAATTACGCTATTAATCGTAAATGCATTCGAAGCAATACTTCGTTCATCACATTCTACTTCAGTAATCAAGATAATTGAAATGTGAATGTTAGCGTAATGTGATCAACACTGACAAGGAAATGTTTGTATTTGATTCACTGAACAAATACCTAAGAACATTATTCGCACGAATCTAGCTTATAAAAATCAGTGATTCTATTAAGTTATGGGCAGAGTGCCTTGCCTAGATATTCACGGCTAAATAATGCTATATTGGTAATAATATTCTAATTTGATCATCTTGTTACTGTACACATGACTGATTATAAGCGTTATGACCAAAGTCATCATAATTATTCACAATCTCTGCAATAATTCAATTCCATCAGGGAATATTCTTTACTGTAACAGCTTTCCACAGCTGCAAATGACGAAGGAAACCGGAACGTAATATATATATAGAAACTAACTTATGAAGATCGAGTTGCTTGAGATCAGGTAGAAGATGGATGGAATCAGGCAATGTGATAAGTTTGTTATTGTCTAGCTTCAATCGCTCTAGTCGAACACATCTACTTATACCTTCTGGTATCAATTCCAGTTTATTGTAGGATAAATGTAGTACTTGTAAATGCACCAGTTTGCCAATCCCACTTGGAATACCTTCGAATAAGGACTGTTATATTATTAATAATGACGGTAATGCTAAACAACATGATTATCAACGGAAATGCACCTTTATCAATTTCAAATTTCTCGATTGCTATTCACTTACTGAATGCATAATTCACTTTACTTTATCACTGGTTTTGAATTCATAGGAGNNTTTTAGATGGATATACAAATACCAACCATCAAATGTAAGTTGATTATCAGATGCATAAAGTCTTTGCAGTTTGACAAGACGAACGATCTGCTCCGGTAATGACTTCAGTAGATTCGAGGATATATTCAACGTCTCTAATTGCTCCCATCCTTTCTCATCCAATTCTATTCGTTCTATCTTGAATCAAATTCATTCATTTATCAGTTATATTTACATAACAGAAGACTGCTCTGGTCCAAGTTCGTTATAATCCGACAATCTCTCAATGTTTGCGCATTTCATGTTGAATGTTTGCATATGGGTAGGTACTGTTTCGCAAACTGATGGACGATATGAAATTTTAACACCGAATATTCTCCTCCGATTTCCAGGAGTACCGAGGAAGGTATTTCGTATCTCTGTGCTTTACCCATTCCGAAACCATATCACTCATGCATTTCCCTGTACCATTCACTCCATCCCGGGAATTACAACCGATAAATTAATTTTCATGTATGCTTTGTATTATATTCTTGGATAAAGCAAATGGGGCCTGCACTTCTGGCTGCGATAGGTTTGGGCCCATACACTTTGGGCCGCAACCTTCGACCCAGATATCACACCGTTCTGAATGGTTAACGGCATTATTTCATGGCCTAAAGATAAAATAATATCAATTGTGTTGCCTGAAAAATGGCGCAGATTATAACATGAATGACAGAATACGAACCTGATTATGACTTAGATCAAGTTTTCTTAAGCTTTTCAACTTGTAAACGCAATCCGGAACTTGGGGTAACTCATTACTTGAAAAGTCGACATCCTAAAACAATAATATCGGTAACGATAGCAACACTAACAGTAATGAATAGACAATAACGAACAACAATGAAAACAATGGCAAATGAACCTGTAAGTTGTCCAAATCATCCAGAATCGGTGGAATATTGTCTAATGTCCTACATGTATTACGCATATGCAAAACCCGTAACGCTTTCATACTGAAACAGCTTATTGAATGAAAAACATCCTTGTAATACATTACTATAAAATCATTCAGGTGCCGCAGCAGACAATAAATAATCGATAACTAATCCACATCCATTTACTCATCTCAGCTCTTGTTTATTTCAAGTATTCACCAAACTCAATATTATCATTTTATTATTACCATTTAAGCTGTTCTGAGTGATAGACATATAA